GACAAGAGCGATGAGAGCCTGGTTGGCAGCCGCAGCAGAAGCAGATTGAGAAGACATGATAGTGAGACGATTACAATAGAGCTAGTGGACAAGTCACCCGGAAGAGACGTGTAAAACAACAACACTTATAAAATTTTCAATCACCGGCTAGCCGGGCCGACTCGGACATATCCGAGTCCATTGTTCGCCTCATTGTTGTCAGTCTATTTTTAGATATAAATGTCTCATTGTTGACACGTCATCAGTAATCAATTGTTGCCAACCAACCTGTGAGTACATCATCCGGTCGCAGCCTTCTGTAGAACATGATTCTTCCAGTGATATCATGAAGTCCGTGGATTTGTACGACCCATTCCAGAAGAAAAGAAGGATGCGATCATCGGCGATTGCTCAGCATAATCTACATGTATCTAGTGAGGATGTAGGTAAGAAACCATCACCTCCCACAACGTACCGGTTGATATTATCCGGCATCCCAGTTCATAGCATCTTGGAGCCAGGGAGAGAGGAGCGCACTTACTACAACCCTTTCATGGTTTGTTCAAGCATGGGTGAATGTGAGTTCATCTCATGCTAAGCGATGGTAAGGACAATTGATATGAATTTTAAAGATCTAGATGTCCTGTCAGCCCATGATGGGTTGCAAGACGGTAAAAGATTGAAGATGAACTCTGAACCGGCAGATGACGACCGGTCACTGGACCTGGGATTTCCTTTGTCAGATTATGACCAGATGACCGACAACCACGACCAACAACAATCAGACATGTTGGATATGCAATTTCCCACCTTGTCTGATGATGACCGGTCAAATGGTGAGATGTTGGATTTGGGATTTCCTCCACAGCCGGATGATGAAGATGTGCTTGATTTGGGCTTTGATATTGACCTCTGTGATCCGGCCGGCAACACAGGCATGTCGCTGGAATCTACATCTCATAAATTGACACTCATTTGAAACGATATTTGACTAGAAGACGGGGCTCTTGACATGGGCTTCGGCACATATCTGGCAGATGATTCGCTTGATAAAGGGACTAATATTTCACCGGAAGAACACCCTTTAGATATGGGTTTCGAGATGGATCCGGTACGTGTTGATCGGATCAGTCTTGTAAGCCTTCTTGCTGTTCCCGAGATTGTTCTGATCATTTAAACTTAGTCGCCGTCAGTCGACAGGATCCAGTTGGATATGTAATTCAACGGGCTGTAGGTGATTTGCGCGAGGCAATGCACCGGTTGCAGATTGACCGGGCTGGTAATGCAATGTCGCCGGACGAAGCCTTTGCTAGAGAGCAAGTTCTTGACTGTACACAAGAGTTATTGTTGGCATGTCAACTGATGTCGATATCTCGACTTTCAACGTGAAGTATATATTTATAGTCAAATGCTATCTACACCTATCACTAGAATACTTGCTTACAACGATCCAAATTACTACGATTGCATATACTGAGCTTTATAAGAGGCCTTTGTACTTCTATGAGAGCGCTTTGGCTCTGGATTGGTTGTCTGTGCTTCAGATGCTTTGGCTTTCTTGCCGGAGTCCCTTCTTGGGGCAGGGGGTGTTGGTTTGTGCACCGGTGCTTTGTTAGTTTTATTCTTGGCATAGACACCTGATGTAGGGCCAAATGCACGACTTCTAGAAAGATGTTGCGAAGGCAGAGGATCATTGTCATCATTACCGGTTGATTGTGCAGAACCGGTGCTGGTGTTGTCTTCTGCCTGTCCCCTTCCACTTGCAGTCAGCTTTGATTTCTTGACTGGTGGCGGACCATCCGACTCCAAATCAGATTGAATGGGAGCAACCCTACCCCTCTTTTGGGATGATTTTAATTTAGGTGGTGGTAGGACCGGTATGGATCTCTTGACCGGTGGGCGAGTATCTTCCTCCTCTGAAGCCGGACGAGTGCTGCGGACGGTATTGGTCCGCTTGGCCTTTGAAGTTGGTTGTGGGACAGGTATGGATTTCTTGACCGGTGGGCGAGTATCTTCCTCTGAAGCTGTACTAGCCCTGCGAACGGTATTGGTCCGCTTGGCCTTTGAAGGTGGTGGTGGGACCGGTATGGATTTCTTGACCGGTTGGCGAGTATCTTCCTCCTCTGAAGCTGTACTAGCCCTGCGGACGGTATTGGTCCGTTTTGACTTTGAAGGTGGTGGTGGGACCAGTATGGATTTCTTGACCGGTGGGCGAGTATCTTCCTCCTCTGAAGCTGTACTAGCCCTGCGGACGGTATTGGTCCGTTTTGCCTTTGAAGGTGGTGGTTGGACCAGTATGGATTTCTTGACTGGTAGGCGAGTATCTTCCTCCTCTGACGCCGGACTAGTGCTGCGGACCGTATTGGCCCGTTTTGCCTTTGAAGGTGGTGGTGGGACAGGTATGGATTTCTTGACCGGTGGGCGATTGTTGATAGATTTTGACTTTGGTGGTGGTGATTGGAGGTTGTCATCGTGATAGTGATCGTCGTCCTTCTCCTCATCTTCATCATCCTTGTCCTTATCCTCACTACTAGACACCGGTTCCACCCCCCTGGTGCGCCTTCCGGTGGACTTTTTCACTGGAACCCTGGGTCTCGCATCAGAACCATTGCCAGAGATTATCTCTGCCGGTTCTCTCATTGTCTTATCATCGCCTTCCCAGCCTTTAAATTCAAAGGTTGGGCGAACCTGGTCCTTCTGTCTTTGACACCACAACTCTAACAGCCGGTCAGCATCAGCCAGCCGAATCTTTGATGGATCGTCGAGCCTCCAGCCGGTAGGTAAAAACTTGGCTGCAATAAAGTCACCCTGAGCCATCCTGACTGAGGCCCAAGGAACAGACGCCTTTGGTTGTTGGCTGCACAATCCTGAAAAATTGCTGGTCAGCAGATCAACTCTCCAGATGCATCATTTGTGAAACTGACTGTAGTGCTTTGTGAGGAAAGTCCTTATAAGACGCTTTTTGCTCTCTAGGTTAAGCTCTGTGACGTCCGGTATGACCGGCAGCCCATAGCTATCCACCTCCAAAGGATAATCGTCCTTCTTTCCACCTTTCTTCCTGCTCTTCTTCACCTCCTCTTCGTTATCATCGTCATCATTATTCAGGTCAACGTCTGGTATCACCCCAGGTCAGATAAGTACTTGACTGAATGGCGCAAGATTTTCAAACAGAAGCTCACCAAACTCTTCACCAGCATAGGCATTCCACTCCGATAACATGGACTTCCAGTCCTTCGTATCGGTATAACTATTCCCCTCCAACTTTTCATTGAAGTCAATTCTTTCAACCGGATCAGTATATCTTTACCGGTTGAGTGTGAAGCGGAACTCACCCATTGATCCGGACTTCGTCTTCCTCTGTTTTCCATGCTGACAATATGAAAATTCTCATACCGGCCTGCTTCCACAACTTTGTTGCCAGATCCTTCATCATACCGGGTGCTTTCTTCTTTGCAAAGTCCGCCTGAACAGCTGCAGGAGGAGCCTTGGCAGACCACTCAATCGCAGTGTTCTGAGCCTCCTCCAGCTCCTCTTTAGATAGACTGGCCACCACTGCAGTGAGTGTTGTCTGATATCTTTCAATAAATTTCTTCGATCCTGGCATTGCTCCGGTCTTTTCAATGATCTCCTCCTTGCGCAGTTGTTCTATGACCGACCGGGAAGTCCATTTCTGACCGAACTTGTTGGCTTTCTTTTCTCGAGTCTTTTCAGGTCTCCGGTTATATAACCAGTCCCGGTACGTCTTGATACATCATGATATAAGTCGGTCATCATGTATAAATTTAAAGTTCTACTGCTCACATATTTCCTGTTCTTCAATGACCGGTCATCCATAGCAGGGGCATGCACCTTGGCCTCTTTTATGACGGCCTTCAGAATCTTTTTTCTATCGTTGGCAGCTGCTTCCTTCCATTCTTCTAGGTGGGATTTCAAGACCAGCACCTCTTCATCGGTTAATTTCTTCTGCTTGGTCTTTTTTGGGCTATCGACTGATGAGTTGGACCGGGGCATGGCAAAGTAGTTGAGGAGCAGTGGACGTCTTGATAGAAGAAAGGATGCATGTGTATCTCACAGTAATAGGTTACATAACCGATGTACGTGACTGCAAACCGAACAAAGGATTGTCCAATACTCGTTCATTGGTATGAATCCCTCAACATCCTATGTGTTTCTGATTCATAGAATGTAGAACTGTAAAAGCATATGGACTTAGACCTGTATTATATAGTATATGGGCAGCATACAGCCCTCAAATACTGGATACCGCCCTGTGCAATCATATTCCACAACTTGCTCAAGTAAGTATAATCACAAATGACTTTGAAGGCCAGCATGAATGTGGACATTAACAGCCGGTGTCCTGAAGATCAAACCAGAAGCCTGTTTGTCTCTAGAGTTGGTTATTTGGTTTGAACTGTTCTCTCAGAGCATGTTTTGCAATGCCAGTGCCCTCGACTAAAGTTTAATCAATGTATTGACTTTGCCAGACTCGTCAATAATCTAATCGAAAGAAGTATATATTGCTGCCGAACCCTCGTAATTACCTGAATGATTGTTCTACAGCCAACAATCCAGAATGCTGGCTAGAAAGAAGTATTTAAACATTGAAATGTAACCTCCGGTCGATGTACTTTATCCAGTCAATTGTCATGTAACTTGAACATGAAATCCATGCGACTCGGGTTAATGGGAGGATTACGGTGTTTGTGATGTCATGCAACTATGGCAACCTCAGTGACTCCAACCTTAATATATCCCATACAGGTGACATTGCAAGATCTTCGGTGAGATCACAGGAACAATGTGGTAATCCCGACCGGTCAAACCATTCGGAGTCTGAACAACACCGGATCAATTGGTCCCTTGATGACTGGGTAGTTCAATGACTAAGAAGGGAAAATGTGGTAATCTCGACGGTTCAAAATCCCCGGAAACTGGAATTGATGGAAGGCACCGCAGTGAAGTCATGTGCTAGGCTACCAGTCATCAAGTTTACAGCACACCGATCCTTTCCAGTCAATATGGCAAATACCAAACAAAAGGGAATCACATACACCCCTCCTACAAAGAAACGATTACCTCAGCTGTATAAGCTCAAGGAAAAAACTACAACCAGGGGATCGAGGTCATCTTGGGTGAAAGATTCATGGGCTAGGAAAACAAAGTCGGTAACATCATCACCAATAAAATCACCCTCAAAGCATAAATCTGGGTCGCCTCACTTGCTCTATGAAGGTGCTGACTTTGAGTTTGACCAAGGTAACATCCCCCAGCCTAAATTTCCAAAATCCCAGGCAAGCAACAGTTATCTTCATTTCCCCGGTCTGACCGGACCATACAGAGTCAGAATGCATATCTCCGGCAATGGAAATGCAAGTTCAAGGACTACATAAATTCACTCATGATCAGAGAAGCCCCACCAGCCAACCGACTTTGCTCAGTCTGCAAGAAGGATGGGGTGTATAGATGTCATGGCTGTTTCAATGAGCCACTCTTTTGCACAGACTGTTGCAGAATTCAACATCAAAGACATCCATTCCATCGCATCAGTCAATGGACCGGATCATTTTTTCAAGAAACTTCACTCATTAAAGTTGGCCTGCACATTCACCTTGCTCACGACGGCACTCCATGTCCCAGCAGCACCGATGACTCATCAGACTTCTTTCAGTGGTCAGATACCGATGACAATATAGATGACGATTATCCGGAAGGACCTTTCATTCAACCGGTCAGAGACTCAGATCGTCCGGCAATAACTGTAGTAGACAAGTCCGGCGTTCACTCCCTTTCCATATGTTATTGCCAATGCCCCAGTGCTCTCAGCCGAGACATACAGCTCTTTCAAGCAGGCTTGTTTCCGGCGTCTTTCACCAGACCAAAAACTGCATTCACATTCGCTGTCTTGGACGACTTTCTGTTAGACAATCTCGAGTGCGGTACATCGGCCATGAATTACTACAGCAAAATTCGCAGACTCACCTCTAGCATCTTTCCACTGATGGTTCCGGTGAGCTGGGTTTTATTCTGTACTTCACATTCTGGTCATTAAAGAACGATATCTGTAGGATCGCTATAGAGAGCTCATGAGAGCTGCCAGGCAGTGGCGACAATGCAAGCTCTACAAGTGGCATGGATTTGCCCACAAAGATGACCAGCCAAAGGATGGTGATCTTGCCCTATTTTGTCCGGCATGTCCGCAACCGGGTATAAACTTGGACCTGTCTACCAGTACAGTCGCCCAGCCTGACGATACACCTTCCTGGCTCATGACTAGGTATTTGGTCATGGATGGCAATTTCAAAGCGAGCACATGCATCCGGTGAATCCATCCGATGAAGTATCATAATGGATGGTCTGGGTTCATGGTCTCGATGGAAAGATACAAGAGCCATTTGGCCATGCTCAAGACAATGTCCAAAGGTCGGATTGCAATAATCACCGGGCAGTAAATCAAGCAAACGCCTCGCGGCAAAGGCTGGAAAGCCACCCGGTATTAGGAGGATGGGCATGTGCACGGCATGGATGTTTTGTCCCACATTCCATGGTTGACTTTCAGAAAGGCGAAAGGTCAGTACATATTGCATTCCGGTCACATCAATGGATGATCTTACAACTCTTACGTGGAATAATCAGGCAGATGAACATGGACTATGCATTAAGTCAAGCTCTCAACTATAAGACCGACGGAATCTCTCGAGCCATCACATTCTACGACATAAATTGTCAGTATAACAAGTATTTGAAGGACCGGATCGCTTCCAGCATGTATCTTCCATCCCCATAGGTATGGAATCATTCCTGGAATCGGTTTGTGCATGTACATGGACATCAAGACAACTTGCTTTGTCCGGTATGCCATCAAATTTTATCCATGGGAACCGGCCAGATAGACAGAGAGATTATGGAAACCCTCTGGGCACCTTTGAATATAATATCTCCCATCGGCCAGGGGCATGGGAACTCCCCATCGCAAGGAGGTATTGGATTATCAGATGAATGATTGTAATTTCATGAAAATGATTCGTATAAGTAAGTCACCCACCTCCAGATGTGCGTGTGTTGTCGGCGCTCATACAATTCATGTCCGGATGGCACGTCCGGTAGCTAAGTTCTGTCCAGAAAATTCAAAGAGGCCATCAAGGGGGCTTTGGAAAGCAAACTTGCTTTTGATAATCTTAACGAGACCGCCAACCCCGACATGGTAGTTCTTTGGAAGGCAGAGGAGGCATTGGCTCATGCAAACAGAGCAGAGGATCCTACGGCTATGGACATCTATGAGGTCCGGTTGGAAAGAGGCAAGTGTCCACTTTATTGGCTGTCCGGTAGGTCTGATCATGAGGTCGTGCAGTGCCAACAAAGAAACAGCAGGAATTGCGCCTGTTGCAGGCTCAAAATCGCCCTGAACATCCGGTCATCAACCCTCCCGGTCGACGAGGAGCCGCCCACTTGGCTTGCAACCGGTCTTACCATAGAGGAATCGCAAATATCTCTCTGCAAGGATGTGAGAAGTTTGCGAATGCACCCAACGGACATGCAACTGTTGAGAGTGGCTCGATGCCGGGATAAGCTTCACACTCAGATCACGAGCTTTCTTGAGATGTCACCTACTTATCTCGGAGTTGGAGTCAATGTCAATGATCCGGATTGTCTGGTTACTGTTTGTAACTCACTGGATGATTGTGAAGATTACTCCGATTTTGACGAAGATCAAAATCCTGATCTGGACGTACACAATGCTTCCATATTTCAACCGGAGTTCACTGTCATACCCCTACCATCCAACATTGGTGCAGTGAGGTGCAGGGAGTTAGGTCTCACCAATCTCATCAAAGAAGAAATTGCCCTCCGAGAAGGTCAGGCCAATGACGCACTGCATGCCATTAGAGTTCATTTAGGAGATAAAGCTGTTTTATTCCGCAATACTGTCCGGTCAGCCAAGTCACAGGCTTCATCTACTAGGGCATGGACTCGAGTTCGCTCAGTTGAAACAGCAGTCAATCTCCATGCTCGTATATATTCGAAATGCCGGTCGCAACTGGCCAAACTCCCTGACCACGACCTCTTGAAGAAATACCTTCCTTTGAAGAAAGAAGACCTGAAAGCCAGCTCTGCGGTGGCCGATCCAAATGCACGTGGTCAGAGAGATACCACTCTTTCATGGTTCTGGTCCTTGGATGTTCAGGGAGACACATCAGGAAATGACTGGATGACTGAATGTGTGTCTAGTGTTTCTGATTATGAGGTCGTCCGGTCTCACATGTTCTAATTATAGTTTACCGGGTTAATTGGCTCCGGACAAAAGCACTGCGCGATCGCTGGAATGAGGAGGTTATTCTTGTCAAACACGAAATGCAGTGGTCAATTAATTTCTTCACCCACAGAGCCAAGCAATGGCTCTGTCACATGCACAATGCTACTTCTGCAGGGCTCACCGGACATACATGTTATGCTGCCAGACAATCTCACATATATGACCTGCTGGCAGCACATGCAGAGGATGCTTTTCGGAAAATGATCGTTGGGATAGAAGTCCCAGTTCCGGGTTAGTTGCATAATTGTGATTACCGGTTGATAATATATGAACAACTAGCGGCATATGCAGAGGATGCTCTGCGGGAAATGATCGTTCGGATAGAAGTACCGGTGCCGGGTTAGTTACATAATTGTGGTCACCGGTTGATAAGACCTGTGAGGTAATATACCCTTGTGTTTGGCATGTAAATATTCCCAGTGTGCCGGTCACACCATAGCCTCATATTCCTCTCCATGGACAATACTGTAACTCTCATCCCCTCCAACCAAGTCATCATTGCCACCAAGGGCAATCACATCACAGCTGCAGATATCTCTCGTGCCCTATTCTATGCCAATTCCCGGATGCTGGCCATGCGCCTGTATGTCGACAAGAGTTTTGCCACTGCCATACCTGGTTATGCAGAGACGTTCTACACCCTGATGAAATGGGAGATGGAGGTAGGGAGCCAGCCATGCCGATACTCCCATGCCCTCATCCTTTTCTCTGACATAGACCTTTGCAACACCTTTCATCAATATATGTTTTATCACCCGGTTGTCAGCTACTATTCCTCAACTTCTCAAGGATGTGCTCTCAACCATGACTGCTCACACATTGGTTGATCGGCGACCGGATGTCAATGCCATTTTGCAGGATATCCGGGCATTGCGCCTTTCTGCAGATTCAAACAAATCCGATGACTATGACATTGCTCACATGCCGGACTACTTCAATGACTGGTGGAAGGAATCACTTGGTTGTTGCAGGGTTTCAGATATGTTGCCCAAGTCATCTGTCCAAGATGTTATGGATTTGGTTGAATGGCACTTTTCACACCTTGTCAGTCCATAAGATCTTGTTAACACCGGATGCACCAGATGCTCACACCATTTATTACAGCCGGATCATGTGAAAACTGGTCTTCTCCCATATATTGTGCGTGGTCCGGATAATGCGCCGGATATAATTGGTTCAAGATCTGGTGTGCCGTGCCACCAGACAACGATCGGGAGAGAGTTGCTGGATATGTTACAGACAAGGATGATGAATCTTAGGCGATCAAGTGATAGGTTGACCGGATTGGTTGGGCCAATTGATGAAATCACACGGGCTGTGTCATCCTCACAGGCACTCATTGACCGGTTACATATAGATCACAGTGCATCCACTTCACAGTAAAGTAGAACCCAATGTCCGCCGGTATCCTGCCAATCTTTTATACCATCACGTCATATTTACCTGAATGGAAATGGAGTCTGTCTATGCAATCAGGTCGTGTGAATATGGGGCTATTTTTTCCAATGGATATAACAGTGGTGCTTTCCTGTCACTTAATTGTTTCGGCAAGCCATGGTTACAATTCCACTTGACTGGGCCTTGTACCAGACCTACCTTGCCGGTGAATTGGTGCATGAGATTTTCACATCTACAATTCTTCACCGACCGGTAAAGGATATGGACCTTGGACTCTTGGATATCGACACTTGTATTGCTTTGGAGCAGCTAGCCTATGTGATGGCCACTGCTTACTCTAACGCCGGTATGTATTCCGGCACACCTGTCTGTTCTGGTCAACTAACCTGCAGAAAGTTCATCTTAAAATAGACATGGTTAGATACAATGACGCCCTGGACAAAGATGAATCCGGTCGAAGTGAGACACGAGAAGAGGTTCTTTTGAACAAATTCCCCCCTGAAGAGGAGCACCTCTTGACAACACCATCTGTTGTCATTGATTCTGGCGGTAGAATCATTGTCTGGTATTTGCCTGGAGCACTCACCTCTATGATGATGGTTGGTCCTTTATCCTTTATCCATTTCCAGTTGTTCTTTTATCTTACCCGGATGCATTACTTAGAAAGATATTCACGGTGCCACACATTCCATGAGTGGTTTGTTGAAGCATAGCATCACATCAGGCAAGATTTCTCAATGGAGGACCCACCGGTCAAACTTCTATACAAGTCCAGATGGAATGATCACCCCCGGTTGCATCAATATATCTCCTGCATGGTTTCAGCAAGGAAGAGAGGTGCGTCAGGTCCACATGCATTGAAATCTCTGGTTGGAAGTATTGTAGAAACATGGCTTCCCAAATCTTGACCCGGAAGATGGCTTCTCGCCGGAGGTATCAGCGGCACTGAAAGGTGCTGCCGGTCACAATATTACAGCATCCCTTCAAAGGTCCGGTATCGTTGTCTCTGCTGCACTTCGAGTCATGCACCCTGATCTTTATTGGGCCGGAATGGAAACTCAAGTCAGGCTTGGTAAATGGGCTGCCAGATATGAGTTGAACGAGATGCACCATCATCTTCAACGCTGGACATCCGTTTTTAATGTGGTATCGATCATATGCAATCGCCGGACACCCCCTCATAGAGATCCTAAATGTCGACCGGCAGCATTTGATATCATGACTACTGCTGGTGTTTATCGCCCGGTTATCATGGATTTCATGAACCTTGGAATCAAGTTTCTCTACGACTCTGGCTCAATATTGGCTTCATCATGTCGACTGGTGAGACATTACATGAACGTGGAAGAGGGCAACAGGATTGTCACTGCATGGTACATGCGAGACAGCATCCACAATTTTGTTGGGACTCCGAGCACGGAGTATGCAAAATATGACTGTGTAGATATTTAGCAACTCCATGTATTGGGCCACATATATTGCTTGTCAATCTCGTTTGATATCATAGACGTACTGTATGGGTATAGACCCGGATGTATATATGAGACGGACCGGATGTTTATTCCCGGTTAATATACTTTGTATGCACCGGATGAGGCATCATGCCACCCACATCATATATTCACCCTATCCCCCGGCCCACTCGTCTCCGGTTAGTATACTCTGTATGCACCAGATACCCCCTCCATCCCACAACGCTCTTCCGGCTCATCTGTATCATCCATCTCACCTGCACCTCTATCACGCAGCGGACATCCGGCTCATCTGTATCATCCATCTCGCCTTCACCTCTCGCACACCGGACGCCCGGCTCATCTGTATCATCCATCTCACCTTCACCTCTGTCCCACAACGCTCTTCCGGCTCATCTGTATCATCCATACCGGCAAATATTTCCATTGTCCACCGGGTGGAATATCATGAGGCCCACCTGTCTCCATTTCACCCGGTACCCCCGGCCCACTCGTCTTCCATTATACCCCATACCCCCGGCTCACTCGTCTTCCATTATACCCCATACCCCTGGCTCACTTGTCTTCCATTGTGCTTCACATACCGGCCCACTCGTCTCCATTGCACCCTTACCCCTGGCCCACTTGTCTTCCATTATACCCCATACCCCCGGCCCACTTGTCTTCCATTGTGCTTCACATACCGGCCCACTCGTCTCCATTGCACCCTTACCCCCGGCCCACTCGTCTTCAATTGTACTTCTCATCCCAGCCCACCCGTCTCTATTGTACTTCGCATACCGGCCCACCCGTCTCCATTGCACCCCATACCCCCAGCCCACTCGTCTTCAATTGTACTTCTCATCCCAGCCCACCCGTCTCTATTGTACTTTGCATACCGGCCCACCCGTCTCCATTGCACTTCATACCCCCGGCCCACTCGTCCCCATCATACCCATCTCCCTGGCCCACTCATTTACATTGCACACCATTCAGCCGGCCCACTCGTCTCTATAGCTCATTGCATTCACTACTATTTACATAGATATCCTATATAGTACATTCCTATACTACCATCTACACTATATACCACCGGCCCATCCGTTTGCAACAGGTACACACAACCCTGCAGCCCACTCGTCTACCATGGTACAATTGTTGCCATGGGCCCACATGGGCTGGCCCGCCTCTATTGCTACATTGTCACCCTCAGCTGTCCGTCTAATACGGGTGAATTCACTGAAGGGGCTCAACCCTTGACACCAATCCCGCTCCCGCTCCTTCCTAGGACTTGCGGGCCACGGGATAGCTGTGCCGTCGCCGCTAGTTGATTTCTTTTTTGGGGACAGCGCATCAAGACCGGGCAGTACGGCCGTGTCAACTGTCAAGACCCCGCGTCAGATCCCCATTGCGCTCACAGTCGATAATTATTACTTCCCTCGTTGCCTCTTCCAATCAATCCTCATTGTCAGTTACCACTATCGGCGCAGTCTTCACATACTTCCCTAGTCTGCATACATGTTTCTGTCATTGGTGGTCATAATTTTATATTGCATCCTCATCTCACCAAACAAACCAAATGTGGTCACTAGAAGTACTTACTACTAGACTTGTAAAACACCGGGTCTCTTAGCGTCCCTTAATGTTCACTTACTCGCCCTTGTGTTCAAAAACTTTTCTTGTCTTACGATAAAAATCATTGGACATGAGACAGTTTAGAACCATCAAGCGATTGATGCAGCGGGCTGAGTGTCAGCTCTACTGTACCCACCAGAAAGAGGACAGCTGCCAAAATGCGGTTAAGATGCATCCCAATCTAAGATTGAAGGCGTGCATCACCAAGGTCATGATATTGTCATGGTGGGTTTTCGGGCGAACACGACTTAAACTCACACGAATTCCTTTCTGTCGTTGTCAGAGGTCCGACACTGGGCATTGCATCGCTAACTGGTTAGTATTACTGAGACGACAATTTACATTATTGTTGCTCAAGAATTTCTTCCACTGTACTTAACCTTGATCTCAAGTATCCTGCACAAGTGCTACCTATCGACTATGAGATTACGCAACGTGTATTTGGTTTGTCTTTAACAGGGAGAGACAATCACTGGTTAGGAATGCTCAGTCAGCATCCTGTTGAATGAGCGCGAAGGCTTTTTCAGAGCGAGCCTCTATCGAGCACTTGAAGGGCTTGGGGTGGCTGCGAGTGTGTTATTCAGAACACCGTGGTCACATAAAGACACGCGACATACCTGATCATCCCGGATGTGTAGTCAACTTCAGGGGTGATTTCAACGCCATTCTCGACAACCTTGGAAACGTTAAACACCGCAAGTGACATTGCGATGGATATCCAGATGGATGCATCAGCGAGATGCAGACCTGTACAGTCGAAAGCAACCAAGGTTAGAAAACTGTCTTGTTAGAGCGCCGCGTGTCAGCTGCGCATACCTGGGCAGAGCCTGTGGAACAGAACCTTAGCATTTCACTCAAAATATAGCAGCGATCAAATCCTTACCGTCTACCAAAACCGAAGCACACCGTGCGAGGATCTCTCTCGGGCTCTTTTCCATCCTTGGCCAAAAAGCGCTCAGGATTGAATTCCGAGGGGTTGGCATGTGTCTGCGGATCGTTGAGCATGGACCTGTCACGATCCAAAACGTCAATATACCAGATACACAACAAGGAAAGTACCAACCATACGTTAATGATTATCAAGGAGCCTTTTGGAATGTAATACCCATCGTGGATGTCGTCCTGAATGGTGCTGCGATCAACTGACATCGAGCATTGTTGGTCAACTAAAGACCGCGACAAACGAGATACACATACCACTAGATATGACAATATTCCAGCGGAGGACCTCCTTGGTAAGTGCCTCGACGTAGGGGAGGGAGGCACGATCGGCGAAGGAGGGAAGATGATCAGGGCCAACAACAGCATCAATTTCAGCCTGAGCCTTCTTCTGCACATCAGGGAAAAGTGTCATAGCCAGAAAAAATGAGTAGATCGCAGAAACAGTCTGAGAAAACAAGCGTTAACCCATAAATGTGATGGTTTCGAACGGACGAACCGTGTCAGCACCGCCGCTGAATAGGGATACAGCAGACCACTTCACAATATAATCCTCTTCCGGGTTCAAAGCACGGTCCTTTAACAGATCTGAGGCGAACGATTTTGGGGCAATGCCAGCAGCCTGTAGAAATTGAATCAATAGCACATAGCGGGAAAACTACAAATCTTAGTCACCACTTGGTCTTTGACAAACTTGTAGGGCGCAGCAGCCATTTCTTCGGTATTCTTACGGCACTCACGAGCTAGGCGTTTGAAGCCAGCACCAGGGAACCACTCTGGGACCTTTGCCACTAGAATATGGTCAGGCTATTGAGAGAAAACATCGAAATGTTGTATTCTTACGGAATGGTAGGAAGTCGACCATAAATTCACCAGTGATGCTGTACCGCGAGAGTTGGTCTAAAGTGCGTTTTGCAATGTCAACGAGAGGATCATCATCCTCCTTGACTTCATACCCATAACAAAGGCGCAGAACGACAGCGGCAGCGGTGCTATAAAAAATCAAGATCAAACCAACAGCAGTACTACAAAATACACACAGTCGAACATATGCTTGCAGTTGGTCGGGTTTCGCTAGTACACGTTTCAGGAATCGGTGGGCCTCTATCTCCTCGATGGGGTGGTAGTCAACCAAGGCAGCGCGACTGCCAAAGATGCGGTGGCAATTCTTGCGGAACAGGCGAAAGCGTTCGCCGTAACGGAGATAAGCCAGAGTTTGCCCATAGCCCATCAGTTCCCCAGTCATAGGAACAACTGGACGGTCAGAGTATATAGAGCTCTTCTTGTCCAGCATTTCCACCGCACTTTCGACGGAGTTCAGCACGACGATGTGCATACCCAGAACATTGATATGCGAAATATCACCTGCACGCAAGAGCATTACAATGCATGATTTTGGAAAAAAGGGAAGGTTTTACCATACTTCTTGCCCCATTCAGTGAAGGTGAGCCAGGACTTGTCACGAGGTATGTCTCGAAGGTTCCCAACTAGAGGCAGGCCCCGAGGACCAGGGGGATATGGTGCAGGATTCTTCTTGACGAATATCTGCTTCACCAGATACACTCCGACGCTAGCAAGACAAAGGTACTGCAAAATAAGAACGGCGAGTGTCGACATGGATGGCTATTAGCAGAAGATGAGCAAGAGATGAGCAAGGCGGCGTGGTCATCAAGCAAGAGATGCCAAGTGAAGTGCCTAAATTGTACATGCAAACCGGAAGAACATCTTATATCTCATTCTTGATTGATTCGGATTGGTAGTACGGGACCGCGACTGTACTTTGGCAACATGCGATTTGTTATTAACGCATTAGGACATGCAGGATCCTGCTGGCATTTGAATGTCACCAGTACGAAAACGAAGGTTTAACGACACACTTTATCTCCCTTGATCTTGATGTTATGGAGTATCGTTCATGCCATGCGTGATTAACGCAATAGGGTGCTGGCACGTCGTTGGACAACAAACCCAAGTTGTCGCTTAAACTCAGTGCATTAATGTCCGATCCTGGTCACGGTGAAAATCGACTGAATTTAAAGAAGCGGATATGGGACGGAGCTCGATTGAACGAGGTAGATTCCCGACTCCCACGGTAGTGGAGGAGGGTTTTGTCTGCAACAATCGTGCCGTTCTCTACCAAATCGTGCGTGGGAAAGTAAGTCCTCCCGTGGGAAACTGAGAGACCAAGCAGCAGATACAAAAAAAAATGGTTCCGGCATAGCGAACTCGACCCATGATGCAGGCAAGCAAGGTCAAATTCGGCATTAATGTCGAACCCTAATTTACAACTAACTGACGGGAAAACAGGAAATGGAAAGAGCCAGTGGAGTCGGGAACTGGCGCGTCAGCGGCGCTACGATGGATATCTCGACGACACATTTGTATTTTCATGCAACGTGTAAACATTCAATTTTGTAATTTGCATTGACAGGATCCGAATCTATATTTCCCACAATACAGACGGATGTGAAAACGTATAGTGTCGCTTACATAATTCAGAAACGCTCACTGAAATTACATGACTTGATACAAAATTAAGTAATGTGCTGATGCAGCTACAGTACCTCTAGTGTCTTGATGTTCATTAAGTAGCTAATGTCTTTAACCTGTGCAATGATATCATCATTCGATGCGATCCTCTTATATTCTCCTTCACGCTGTCGCGCTAGCAAAAACGCACCAAAGGGCTGTCCAAGGTGAATAATCAACCGCAACGCTCGCGAGTCGCAATCTGAATTACAGCGGTTTGCATAAGTAATGGCGCAGCCCTGTGTGAGAATTTCAGTACTTATCAAGATAATGGACTTAGAAAATTCAGCTCGATTTTGGCTTGATTTGACTTGTTGACAAGTTGTTGTGCGATCGCCGATCCATTGCTCAGTGCTCAGTATTCGGTGTTCCATGTCATGCATCATGGGCACACGCAAAATTCAGTACAAGAGTGCCGAGTTCATTGACAGCTCTGATGATGATGATACCATTGAACTCATGTGCCATCCTTCGCATGAAGTCAGCCCGGACATCCTCGTTACGTTCCTTGGCAACTTTGCGAAGCTTTTTGAGTGAGATACCGGCACGACAAAGTTCACGATGAATTGTTGTGTAGTGGAGTGATATGAAGCGGTTTCGTTGCACGAGGCCAACTAGTTCGTCGAGAAACCAATCGGGACGATGCGCAATGAGCTCCGTAAGGTATGCAACATCTTCAAGGTTCAAAGCCCTCGGCCGGCCGATGTATTCACTACATAGCTTGACGACGTCACCCGTTTCACGATAGAGCTTGCAGATTCGAAGGAAGGTCCGTCTCGAAAAACCAACACAATCAAGTATTTCGCGAGTGGTGAGAATTCCCCGCTCGTGAAGGCGGATGGCAGCGAGCTTGAGGTCAGGTGAAATCTTTCTATTATCCATAGTTGTGTTCTAGACTTGATGTGTTTGCCTGTGTTACTACTCCGTCACTCGAAATTTTCCAAGTCTTTCAAGAGTTGTTATATGTTGTGACTTATGTGGTTGCGCCATTAGTTATGCAAACTGCTGTAATCAGCCCAGTTTGTGCAGCGGGTGGATCGTACAACGAAGATTCGGGGATAGGCCAGTTGTCCACGCTCTGCGTATCGTCCGCAGTGTCATGCAGCCCGAGGAGATGGCGACTCCACGGACGAACGAGCAATATCGTCTGCCAGGTGGGCAGCGGCCTTGCCGGTGAGAAAGGGGCGAACTTGTCTTCTGTGGTGACGTGCAAGTTGTGAAGCCCGTCTGACTTGAGTTCATACGTATATATATCCTGGTCATGAGCTGGCCTCCGCTTGACTTCTGTGACCGGGAATACGATGCAAGGCAAATGCAACCGGCGGTGCGCGAAACGGGGAGCGCTCAGGGAGTCAAGTGTCTGGTATAATTTCGAAGCCGACTGTAGAGCCACAACACCTCGCAGCGAGGAGACCAATGATTGAATCTCATCTTCAGATAGAGATGACAGCTTACATGGTGGAGCTTCGTATGAAGTGATGTCGGCTGGTAGACAGCTATTGAATTCAGATGACTTTCCGACCCAGTCCAGGGCAGTAATATCGCCAGACTGAGCTATGATTTCTTGTAGGAGCCGCCCGAGCGCGTTCTGCTTCTTCTCACCATAATCAACACGTAGGCGGACACCAAAGATGCTAGATAATGAGTATGCAATGTCTTCTTGGAATGTGGTAACACGTGTCGACGCCCACTGAAGTTTCTCTCGGGCATCTCTCATCCCGGGACGGAAGGCTGCAACGGCTCGTCGATCTATCCCTGTCGCATCCTCCAACTCCTGCATGATCGCAACAGAATCCTTGTGGTTGGGAGTGCGATCGCCGAGATAAGGAGTCCAATCCTGCTGGTAAAATAGAATGGCATTGGGGGCAAGGAATTCTTGAACTGTCCATCCACGTGTGTTCCAAGCACTCTTTGCCAGTGCGCCAGGCTTTGACGAAGATGGAACATCCGAGAGGTATACGACTGTGAGCCTGGAGTGATGATACCAGACAAACATGGAGTTGACCGATTCTTGAAGCTCAACACTGTTGCTCTTGTCAATACAGCATGTATCGCTCCATGCCCAGCGACACCCGAAATCACGGACAGTTTGGCAGAAGGACTGCAACTTCTTGATGCCGCCAACTGGATTTAAGTTATAGATGTCCTTGCCCTGGATATCCTGCAGCAGCGGCTCGTTGCCTTCCCACCTGTGCGATAGCATGACATATTGGAAGTATGTCGTCACCACTTCTTTGACGTGCTTCATCTGGATATCCCGATGCGCGATTGTTGATGATACAAGCTCCTTATACTCTATGCTCGTTTTGAAGGTGAGTATCTGCGTCTCTCGATCGCATAAGAGACCGCTGGTAGTGTCGATTACACGCAGCGGAGCATTGTCAAGTTTAGCATCGATGATCTTTCGAATAACACGATCTACTTGGGATGGACTGAGATACTGCTGGCGTAACTCTGCAGCAATAGTCAACGTATGTCGACGTACGAGCTCTCTAAGGCTTACTTCGTGTCTCATTGTCGGGAGCGTTATCTAATTTTGAGAGCATGACTTCGAATGCCTGCATCGCTTCATCGTAGCGTTGTGCACCATGAAGCGCTGCATACTTCAAACTGTATCCGACATAAGATAAAGAGTTGAGTTCGGTGACCTAGGTGTTACCATGATAAGTATAGGTTAAGAACGATAAATGCGATCGCACCTTCTGCGCATCAAGAAGTGCTTCCGTCCATAGCATCTTTCCCAATTTTGCCTTACTGCGCTTTACAAAGATGGCATAAGATGCAGAATTCAAGTCAATCACTGCCGAGTAGAGGTCAATAGCCCTATCATAGTCGCTTGCAGCGAGGGCAGTATCTCCGTTGGTAAGAAAGAGGGTGCTGTATTCTTGCTTGAAAGCTGAGTGAAATGCGGGTGAGGACTATAACCTCCGGTGATAACACTGAAGACTTGCCAGTGGACCAGTCAAGGCAGCTGGCTTTTGTTGTTTCGTCGACGTTGTCCATCATAAATTTGTGTGATTCGAGTGCTTCATCAACTCTGCCTGCGTAAAAGAAAGCCTGGCACTGTTTCTGGTAGGCAATAAGCCACAACGATTTGAGATTCCAGCCAAAGAGCTGGACAAGTGACTCAGTTATGAAAAGAATGTCGGATCTGTATTCACGTACCACTACCAAGTCCTCGTACATAAAATGAATGGGTGAACTCCATAAGAGAGCGCTGGAGTTGAGAACGGCAGTGAAATGGTCAGCGGCTTCTTCGTGACGTGCGCCATCCAAGGCCTTGATTCCGAGTTGAAGACGCATATATGCCTAACATGTGAGTCGAGTTGCAAAGATTAGTGTTGGTGACCTACGGATGATACTTACTTGCACGACGCAACATGCGAGAGTGTCGGCATTTGGACAGCCAGCAGCGAGTTCTTTAAGGAGCAGGTTTGCTTCGTCATGTTGGTCTGCATTGAAGAGGGCAATGGCCTGAAATACACGATGAAGCAGAAAGTATGAGGAGGTAAATGTAACATACTTTGATCAAGAGCAGGAAATGGAGGATTTGTGAATCCTGGTCCGTGTACATTGATGCAACATCAAATGCTGCCCTCGCATCCGGGACGCGACCTTCTCCGCAGAGGGCAATACCCTTGGAGATGTAGCCTGTTAATGAGGGCTGGATGCTGATGGACTATGTCACCGTCGAGTTAGCCTTTTATGTAAAGGGGGGGGGGGCATGATCAGTGCGTATAACTCACCTTGATTGCATCCTGAAGGGCACGGTCCCAGTTATGTTGTCGAGCCATCACGAATGAGCGATGGGCGTAGGAAGTATGGTTGTTGGCGTCAGTGTTGATATCTTGCGTGAGCAGTTCTTCAGCGGTAGACAGGTGCCCATCTATGCATGCATCACGGGCTGTTGTGATGGCTAGGATCTGTACGAAACATGCTCAAATTACGGTATATCAGTCAAAGACGGAAACATGCCTTCGGATTGATACCCTGAGGTACTGCCCACTCCGAGACCATCCAATCGCCACCTCCACTGGGGATGCGACTACCGTCCACCGAGAAAGTGATGCAACTCGTGAAGGATGCGTGCTTGAAGGTAGCAACGCTTCGTCGATCAGAGAGCCGCCAAAGACGAACATGATTGTCATGAGATGCGGATGCGACGAGTATGCCAGCAGGATTGACGGCAATGGCATTGATTTGGCTAGAATGGCCCATCCAGGGATCACCGACCTGCTGCCAGGTTGTTGTATCCCATTCGCGTATGGTAGGATCAGAACTACCGCCACCCGTGAGGAGGCGTGTGCGCATCGGGTGTCCATGCGAGTGATAAGTTGGATTTTGTGTGAGCCTTGAAGGATGTGATACGTTCTCTCGTGCCTGGATTATAAATGTGGATAATGTCTTTTGCTGCGATGGCAAGAAGTTCTCCGGACGGCGAATACCGTACACAGCGGACTTCACTACCACTATTTCCTTCCAACTGCCAGGTTTGGGTGTTCCACAGCTTCATCATCCCGTCACATGAACCAGTGGCCAGCGCTGATCCACCGGGAGAAAAATCTAGCGAGGAGATCCAGTCGGAGTGGGCTTCGATCATTTGGGTGAGTGACTCGCCAGTTTCTCCGTGCCAGACAACGACCTCTCCGTTAAAATCACCGCTTGCTATCAATCGCCCATCTCGTGATACTGCCAATCCCCACACCTCACTGTGATGCCCCTCCATCTTCTTCAACACAACACCTGTATTCAAGTCCCACAGACGAAGCGTCTTATCGTACGATCCCGTAACCATCCGTTGTCCATCGGGGAACACCGCGACTGCCCTTATGCCATCTCCATGGCCTTTAAACTTTCGCAGAGGTGTAGTGATTTCAATGAGCTTCGACATATTGCCGGAGGTTGATGGGGTCGGGCGCGGTCGAGGTGGACTTTGGAGGGATCAAGGATATTTTTGAGATGCCTGTATTGTGCATTTTATGCTGCCTGCCTTATTTTCATAGACGCATAGGACACCCATCAGTGAACCTATGAATTCTCGGCATTGTAGCTGTGTCAATTGAGACAGATCTAGTAATTCTGCAACCGGCACTGTGTTGCTATGTGTTTTATATAACTTTCGCACTACTAGATTTACGCAACACTGATCAACTATTTGGTTTGACCGCTGGTTAGTAATACTCAGTAAACGGTATCTTCTTGAATGAGCGCAAAGGCTTTTTCAGAGCGAGCCTTGATCGAGCACTTAAAGGGCTTGGGGTGGCTGCGAGTGCGAATGTTCAGGGCACTGTGGTCATATTAAGATATGCGACATACCTGATCGACCCGGATGAGGGGTCAATTTCAGGGGTGATTTCAACGCCATTCTCAACAACCTTGGAAACGTCAAACACCGCAAGTGACATCGCGGCGCATATCCAGATGGATGCATCAGCGAGATGCAGACCTGTGCAGTCAAAAGCAACCAAGGTCAGAAAACTGTCTTGTCAGTCAGCGCCCTGTCAGTTGCGCATACCTGGGCAGAGCCTGTGGAACAGAACCTTAGCATTTCACTTAGAAATATAACAGCGACTTAATCCTTACCGTCTACCAAAACCGAAGCATGCCCTGCGAGGATCTGCCTCAGGCTCATTTCCATCCTTGGCCAAAAAGCGCTCAGGATTGAATTCCGAGGGGTTGGTATATGTCTGCGGATCATTGAGCATGAACCTGTCACAATTCAAAGAGTTAATATATTGGATACACAATGAGGAAGGTACAAACCATATATTAGGGAGTATCAAAGAACCTTTTGGAATGTAATACCCATCGTGGATGTTGTCCTCAGTGACGCTGTGTTCAACTGACATCGCGCACTGTGGGTCAAGTCAGATTGCGATAAACGAGATACACACACCAATAGGTACGACGGCATTCCAGCGGAGAATCTCCTTGGTAAGCGCCTCGACGTAGGGGAGGAAGGCGCGATCAGCGAAGGAGGGAAGACGATTAGGACCAACGACAGCATCAATTTCAGCCTGAGCCTTCTTCTGCACATCAGGGAAAAGTGTCATAGCCAGGAAAAATGAGTAGTTCGCAGAAACAGTCTGAGCAAACAAGCGTTAGCTTAAAAACATGATAGTTTCAACCGCACGAACCGTGTCGGAACCACCGCTGAATAGAGATCCAGCAGACCACTTCACAACGTATTCCTCTTCCGCAGTCAAAGTACGGTCCTTGAACAGATCTGAGACAAAAGATTTCGGGGCAATGCCAGCAGCCTGTAGATTTCGATCAATAGGGCGTAGCGGGAAAACTAAAAATCTTAGTTACTATCTGATCTTTTGCAAAAATGTAGGGTGTAGCAGCCGCCTCTTCGGTGATCTCACGGCACTCACGGGCTAGGCGTTTGAAGCCAGCACCAGGGAACCACTCCGGGACCTTTGCCACTAGAACATAATCAGGCTATTGAGAGAACGTCGAAATGTTATGTTCTCACAGAATGGCAGGAAGTCGACCATAAATTCACCAAAGGGGCCGTACCGACAGAATTGTTCTAAAGCGCGTTTTACAATGTTAACGAGAGGATCATCATGCTCCTTGACTTCATAACCATAACAAAGGCGCAGAACGATAGCGCTAGCGGTGCTATAAAAATTCAAAGATCAAGCCAACAGTAGTACTACAAAATACATACTGTCGAATGTGTGCTTGCAGTTGGTCGGGTTTCGCTAGTACACGCTTCAGGAATCGGTGGGCCTCCATCTCCTCGACGGGGTGGTAGTCAACCAAGGCAGCACGATTGCCAAAGATGTGGTGGCAATTCTTGCGGAACAGGCGAAAGCGTTCGCCGTAACGGAGATAACCCATAGTTTGCGAATAGCCCATCAGTTCGCCACTCATAGGAACGACCATACGGTCAGAGTATATAGAGCTCTTCTTGTCCAGCATTTCCTCCGCACTTTTGACGGAGTTCAGCACGACGATGTGCATACCCAGAATACTGATATGCGAAATATCACCTGCGCACAAGGACATTAAAATGCAAGATTTTGGAAAAACGGGAAGGTTTTACCATACTTCCTGCCCCATTCAGTGAAGGTGAGCCAGGGCTTGACATGAGGCATGTCTCGAAGGTTCCCAACTAGAGGCAGGCCCCGAGGACCAGGGGGATATGGTGCAGGATTCTTCTTGGTGAATATCTGCTTCACCAGATACACTCCGGCGCTAGCAAGACAAAGGTACTGCAAAGTAAGAACGGTGAGTGTCGACATGGATGGCTATTAGCAGAAGATGAGCAAGAGATGAGCAAGGGCGGCGTGGTCATTAAGCAAGGAATGCCAAGTGAAGCGCCCGGGTTGAACCTCAAAACCGGAGGAACATCTTATATATGTATCACTCGGATTGGTACGGGAACCGCGACTGTACTTTGGCAACATGATGAGCGATTTGTTATTAACGCATTAGGTCAGACAAGATCCTGCTGGCACGATATCCCCAATACGAAAACTTTGTGTTTCTTGATGTTTCGAAGCACCATTCATGTCATGCGTGATTAACGCAAGAGGGTTCTGACACGTCGCTGGTTCAATAGATCTTGTCGCTTAAATTCAAGTTAGTATATCAATATCCAATGATGGCATGACGTTACATAATTGGCTCGTGATCAGCTTAGGCTGCATCAGCCTCTAACTCCATGTATCCATATGCAATGTAGCACCGAGGGGTATCTAGGATACTGTTGCGTGGAAATGTCATCAACGGTCCTGCCCATGCAAGGAAATTCCACCCACCAGTGGCATCGCCTCCATTGACGAATACCCACTTGCCTTCGCCGTATGCTAATAATTATGATGCTCAGGTCAAACACCGATGAGAACAAGAGCATTCTCATCAACACCCGTCCTCGGGTCGATGCCTGCACCATCTTTTCATGCGGGAAAAATATGGGCGTGAAACTCTGCAGATCATCAGAGGGAATCTTCGTAATCAGCGAGATGTGGTCGTCGAGTTCAACATCGTGCTCGCATTTCTCTAATTGCCAGTGAGTTCCACTTTTCTATGATAGAACCTCATCGTATGTGGAGCGAGAAACTTCTGGAGGGTCCGCGCCCTCATGAACCATTCATCCATGATGAAGTCAGACGGCGTCGGTAACTGATGGAGATAGGCAATGGAAAAATGCGCGTTGCGGTACCATCTGAACATTGCGCAGATAGCTTCTTCCATTTCTGAAGCTATCCATTTTGTCAATGCAACGTGTCCGGCCATGCAAATAGACAGTCATATACAAACATCTTTTCCCACAACCTTCGTAAGACATCATGCGGCCTTGTAATAGCTTCACGATGCCTCTGATCGCAAGTTCGCCCATAAATGGTTGCTTGATGACGCAACACCAGCGCAAACATTGCGACCCTGGATATTTCTTCAAGAATGCCGTGTTAAACACCCGAGAAGGATAGACACACGTGTCGGCGGAGACGAGGTATACGCGGACAACGGTGCAATGTAGTATAAGCGACGGATCTAGTACTTCAAGTCTGCGTAGTTCCTTCATGATACAAAGGTGTGAAAGGATGCTTGATCACATAACCCGGGGGTGCTGTTGTTGCAAATAAAACGAAATAGGCGGTCCGGTTTGTTGGCAACGCGGACGACGAACTCGTGCGCGCAGCCATAGACCAGCGATTGAGATTGAAATGTAACGGGCTGAGCTGTGATACGTATCACAAGACGGAGGTGAACACTCCAGCGAGTAGTACTTGCAAGAGACGGCTGGAAGTGATATCACGCAATTAATCCTGGAGTGTGAGGTCAAGTGCTTACAAGCCGCTATCCTTTGTCACCAGAAATGTGCTAGACAAATTATGACTGAGACGTGGTTGGTATATTTATGAAAAAAACCGATTAGCGCAGAAGTGGCCCACGCCATCTTCCCAGTGCCCACCAGTTGAAGTGGTGCACTGAGCCAAAGTTTCAAATTTCAGGCTGTAAACAAGCTGAGCCTGGAATGGTACGAGGAGTTTATACTTAGCAATATGCAACACAAAAACCTCGGATTTCATCCAAACTGTATTGACAGGGACTGGCAGAGCTAGAGCATTGGGAGTGCTCGTCACGGTCGGAAGGGATCACCAATGTAATTGTCGTTCAACGAACGATTTCAATTTGTTTGCTGACTAATACACTAGTTACGTACGTAAGCTTAACGGCCAAAATCGGAGTAGCAAAAAAGGAGGGCTGCCGCATCTTGTCCGTATTCTGCTTTGCACGCGGCGTAAGTCAGCTGTGAGTGCTTAATTTGAACGTTCTTATGTCTCCTGAAGTTTCTTGCTGCTGCTTCTGGCCAGCACATACATTGCCGGTGCACCGCGACTGTCCGTCGCTCGTGCAAGTTTGCATCAGTGGCTGCGGACCACGCCTCTAAGCTCTTGTCCAACGTTGGTGCAAGAAGGGAGACAAGGATGAACACTTCTCGAGTAATCTGGATGAAATCTATTTTTGGTATCTGAAATAGTTTCCAGGGAGAAAGCAAATCAATGTCGTGTTGCATCGTATCACAGCCGCTGAAACCGAACGCTCCCCGCCTCCGCTCTCCCAAGGAAAACGTTCCAGCAACACTCCTGAGACAGTCCGGTTGAAGCTGAAATGATCCGGATGTCTCGCGACAACAAAGTCCCTTACATATCGTATCCTGGCACTCTAGGCTACTGCGTGAATGGCCCGTATGACCGGTTTCAACTTTCCAGATTGGATTGCTCATCGAGCGCCGTAACGGCATCTATAAGGAAGGGCCGTCTTGTCAGAGTCTTCCTTCTACTTCTATGCATAGAGAAGATCATCATCACTAATCTGGTGCCATTGACGCGGCCTGTAAAGTTTCTTAGATAGTAAGTACACAATGATCGCTTTCTGATGTTCCTGGTTGCTGCGCTCCGCCACCCATTGAAACATGATTGCATCATCATTTGTACGCTGCGATCGTCGCGCGCACTTGTCATCAATGTACGTGCACTCATCATATCGTCCACTGAGCTTGCGAGCTTAGGGCTAAACCCTTCATGCATTCATGTGCAACACTCAGGTACACCCCGTTATCCGCTAAAAATCTATTATAGGATAACTACTTGCCACGTAGAAGCACGAACCAAACTGTAAAGTCACGAGCCGCCGCGCAGGGAATTGCTCGTGGAAGATGTCAGCACCACTGGCGTCACGTGAAGCTCATACACGATCGGTCCAAAGTTGTCGCAGGACCCCTCAGGCTATTCATCAAGCTATCACGCTAGATACAGTCACATTCCAAAGTCACATCATATTGCAGCAATGTTTCGTTCTGACACAGATCTACTAGAATCGTTGACCGCTGAACTCTCTCAGCAGCTGAAGGATTATGAAGATAAAGCCTTGCTCGAGATGATACGGCCGAACCTTGCGTCTCAATTTGTGCAGCATGCTCCCGAGTTGACCAAATTCCATGAGGCCATCACGCAGAACGATTCGATGGATGATAGGGAACTCCTACGCATCTTCCGAGAATTTATTCCCACCACAAACTATGAACCTTACCGGCCGTTCATAGCAAAGTTTTTTGCGACCCCTTGCAAGGAGGCCGACGTTGAGAACATGTTCGCCCCAGGACTTCCATACTTCTTTGCTATGTCCAGTATGACATCTGGCAAATCAGTAAAGACATTTCCAAGGTATCGGCCTCCCTCGCACTTGCTGCAAAACCCTCTTTATCTGGCGCTTCCCCCGTCAGAGGGAACCACCTTATCACCAGCTTCCATGAGATATTCGCAAATCTTAAAAATAGATTGCGAAGACGGTCAATCCAAGCAGGTGACAGTCTGCTCGTTGAGCATCGGTTTTCTGCGAATGGCAATGAACTGGGACGCCGAGCATGACAACGAGAGGCTCGACTTATGGCGTAAGCCCTTCGCGCCACTGTCGCTCGTGCATGCTGATTTCCAGCCAATTTTCAGTGCCGGGATAAACAGATCCATATGCGATCTCCTTGGTTAAGAGCTATCGGGCGTTCTTCGTTTTGAATGCTTTGTTTGCTCTGGCAGACCGTCGGGTGACGACCATCCGGTTCTTCTTCGCCAACGTATTCGTCATTTTTCTGCAGTATATAGAGGATGAGTGGTCTCTACTCATCGACTGCATCGAGAAGGGCATCATCCCGGATGTGGAAAATCTAGGGCCTTTGCGAGCACCTTTGGAGGTCGTATTTTTCTTATTTTTTACATTCCACTCGGCTGACAAGGTCTCTCAGAAACTGTTCAAGCCAAATCCTGTTCGTGCTGCCGAACTTCGGGAAATTGGGCCTCCTGGTATCCAGGGTTGGGCAGTCCGCGTGTGGCCTCATTTGGAAAGATTCCTCGGGATTACTGGAGGTCCGGCTGCTACAGCCGTTTCCAAGGCATGTCGAACGTTGAAGGTTTATAACCCACCGGACAGCTAACCGCACACAAGCTTACTCACGTCCTCGGCCCTTCCATCCACACGCAGGCTACTGGTTATGGTAGCTCAGAGGGTAGCATGGCCCTACCATACCACAAGACCAATCCTAACACCGACTACAAGCTAATGTTTGTGGATGTGTTGACCGAGTTTCTGGATGTGCATTCCAACGAATCTTCGGAGCGTGTACTGTCCATTGTAAGAACCATTCACCGCGTCCCACCTTTGTCTATACTCATCCCTGTCGTAGCATGAACTCGTAGCTGGAGGGCATTACGAGCCCGTCTTGACGACTCGCAATGGCTTGTGGAGATATCGCATTGGTGATGTCGTCACCGTTAAAGGCTTCGCTCCAGATGACGGATTGCCCGTTATCAGTTACCTTCATAGGCGAGAGTGAGTTGCCGCGTCATCGGTTTCAGGAGCTGAGCTAATCTCGCCCAACTTGGAAGAGGTGGAATTGTAATGGCATTCGGAACGACGTGCACCGAGTCCCAATTGACGACCGCGATCGTCTCTGCCGCTAATCGGTGGATCGGCCAAATCATAGATTTCACAATTGTAGGCGACGACCGAGACACTCCTATCACTTATGGGTATTTGGTAGAAATTGGAGGAGAAATAGGTCCGTGCTTACCTTGGGGCTCTTTCACACCATGGGACTGAGCATTGCCGCTTGCAGGAAAGGACGCGAGAATGGCGATACAGCAAACTTTTGAAGACCTCATGGCGGCAAACGACGAGTTTCGGACCGCCTTCTGGCAAGGCCGAGCGAGAAAGCCGACCATTCGTCTCTTGGAGAAAGGCACCTTTGCAGAATATCGCCAACAGAAGTGTAACAAGACGAACGTCTCGATATCGCAAGTGAAGGTTCCTGTCGTCCTATCCGACCCTACATTTAGGGAATGGTTCCTGCAACAAGTTGTAATTGAGCTGTAACAGAGTCTGGTCTAAATTTGTCTGTTCCTCGCACAGATGTGTATCGAGCCGATTTACCCTTAAGTCGTTCTATCGGACGTCTAGGCATTAACATGGGCTATTTTCAATGACAGCTACTTCAACAAAATACTAGAGATACGGAAAGTGAACCCCTGGAAGAGACTAAGATGTTGGTACCGGAGCAGTGTTTGGGTCGACCCGGCCGGTAAATAAACAGAAGAAAGTCAATGCGGCTACGAGCCTACGACAGAGAAAACCACGTACACTGAGATACAGAACAGTCATCTCATGACTGTTCTATATCACAGTATTGTGGACTTTAGCCTGTAGGTAATTTTTTTTGTTGATGAGTAGTAGTGTTTGCTTTATACTAGTAGCGGTCGGTCATCGGGTCACGGATGTGGAATGTTCACCTTTACCGACAACTTGCGACCCCGTTCTTCCGGATCTATGTTCGGTGTTCCGTATTCCGTCGGATCCTGGTATGATAACGATATGATGCCTGATCTAGATACGGTGATAATCAAAAGCACAGCAACACTAATATGCAGGAGGCCGAGATTCTGGGCTTTACATAGATAATATCGGGAGCTACTCATCTTTCTGACGGAAAAGTATCATACCACAATAGGAGGAACTATATAGTCGTTTTCCAGGCGTAAAACTTCGGGCCAACTTAGGAAAGACCCCAGGACATCAAACTCATCGGGACGGTATCAAAGGAGTTTGTGGTCTCCACCTCCGGGCCGTGACTACATAATATTGCAGGGCATGATTCCGATAAACAATATTTAGCACCTCGGTTCTCCAAAGATAGTGTGAACTCGGAAGGTGAAAGTGATGCATTCTGCTTCAGTTCGACCTACTTACAAAAGGCTCGCCGAGTATTAGACGCCGCAGCAGATGAGACAAACCCTGGTGTTTTAGGACTTGTACACGAAGAGTATCTGAGTTCGATCAGGAGTGTATCGTGCAAATTCAAATCACAGATGGATGGGACAGACCACACTCGGTTTTTTTTTCATTCTTGTTATCATTGAGTTCGTGTGGTATGCAGCTTCATGGAATATTGGCAGGCTCCTGAGAAGCAGAACAGGGTCGGCGACTGTGGTACTTGGGTAGCTAAGAGAAATCAGGTAAAATGAGCCTGGGCCATAAAAATTCCAAGTCTGCAATCTATGCAGCGAGTGCTACGATTTCAGTCTCTACATACTCCCTCTACAAGATTGGGTCTGGTGATCAAAGTTTGGGATCCCTTACAGCTCAATCCTTACTCTCTCCAGGAACCATTCCCTAAACTTTTGGTCGGATAGGACGAC